TTCTTCCCTATGCTATTGAAAGCATATGCATGTGTGTGTGTGTGTGTATACACACACACACACATACATAAATAAATACAGAACCCTAAATGGTTCTGGTCCAACTTATCTGTCTGAACACATCTCCCTCTATGAACCACTACAGAGTTTAAGATCATCTGGGGAGGCCATGCTCTCAGTCCTGCCTCCCTCACAGGCGCATTTGGTAGGGACGGGGCCTTCTCAGTGGTGGCCCCTCGGCTGTGGAACTCCCTCCCCAGCAATGTTAGATCAGCCCCCTCCTTTCTGATCTTCCGCAAGAAAGTGAAAACATGGCTTTGTGACCAAGCCTTTAGAGAACTTGTGCAACAGATAGATTTGTAACAATGTGCAATGACCATTGGAATGGCCCGGATTACACTTGTGGATTATGTGTTTAACTCTGAATGTATTGTTTTTAAATGTTTTAATGTACTTTTAAATTCTTTTTTAAATATTTATAAAGTGTACATTGTGTTTGAGGGCATGAAATTGTTGCCTGTATGTAAAGCTGCCTTGAGTCCCCTCTGGGTGAGAAAGGCAGGGTAGAAATGTCGTAAATAAATAAATAAATAAATAAACACACACACACACACACACACACCTCCAGCCAAACACACATATACACATATATTCTTGGAGTTACACTTAAAAATGTGCCTGTTCCAACTTACATACAAATTCAGCTTAAGAACAAACCTACTGAGCCTATCTTGTTTGTAACCTGGGGACTGCCTGTACTTGAAAACCATACTGAATAGGTGCAAAGATCACACAGTCACAATCTCTTCCACTATGTTGAGAGTTTCCACATTTCTGTTAATTACAGCAAGTATAAACACTTATAAGCATAAATCACTATATACGTTTATGTGCCTTTTTATGTCTTTTATATGATGTCTTTCTACTAGTTTGACAATTTATGAACAGTTACCATAGTCTCCATTGGACAAAGGGAAATAAGGTGGAGTATTATATAGGTATTTTGCAAAGTATCACATCATGATAGTAGTATGACTGCTATTCCACGTGTTACACTCACCATGAGGCTTTCATGTTGTATGTGGGCTTTGGTGATTAACTGGCTAATATAAAAGTGAGGGGGCTTTGCGTAGGTGAATGTTGTAATTTCAAGTCAGTGTTCTTTTAAAATTGCTCTTAACTCAAGTCTGCTTTAATGTTGACATTTATTTTATTTTAACTATATGACTTTACATTTTATCTGTATCTATTTTTAATCTTGCAAGCTGCTTTGAGTCAGAATTTTGTGAGAAAAACAAGATACACATCAAATAAAAATATTTTCAGTTAATGTTTTTGTGACAAGAAACTGTGATGGTAGTGTACTCCGCCACCAAGCAAACAAAAGAGCTTTTGAAGTCTATTCACCTTTTCTTTTTTCGCTATAAATAACTTTCAATTCAGGAACATTATGTGTTCCATCACCTGACCAAATGCACATTTTAATTTCTTTAGGTGTATCAGGCAGCCGACACATATAGAGAGAAACAGGCACCAGTGTTTGAAAGTCACTTCTTTTATTTTTACGTAGACTGGGAAATTTGACATGGAAGGAGTTCTTTTCACTTTTGAAATTTCATTTTTAAAGAAGGTGGTATCACAATACATTTTATATCTCTTTCCCTTAAGTAATATATTCTGAAGAATCATGTTTAGGTTATCAAAGCAGATAATCCACATTATCTGCTTTAAAATGGATTATAGGAGTCTACACTGCCATATAATCCAGTTCAAAATAGATAATCTGGATTTTATATGGCAATGTAGATGGGGCCTAAAAGGTTTTAAGTTTACAACTTCCAATTGTCCTGGCTCTGGTGTACTTCTTGAACTTGTGTCCTTCCCTTTTTCTCTGCTCTTATTTACCAGAAACTCAACTTTCCACTCAGAATGTCTGCCATCACTTTTAGGAAGGGCTCCTTTTTACCTTAGATGACCTCCTGTTGTTTCTCAGTGAGGCATCCAAAGGGACATGACTCAATTCATAATTTAAGGTTTGAAGTGTGTTGTAGAAGAAATTGAAATTTGAAATTTGATTTTGGACACATGTATGTTGAGCACTTGGGGGTTTTTCTCTCTTGCATTTTTAAAAGTATATAAATTATGCTGTAGAGATCAAAAACTGAACATAGAAGTCCAAGCTAAGAATGAGTTTAGTTTTTACTCCCACAGCTCACTTAAGACCTTGAAAAGCGAGATTTAAAGAGAATATGCAACAGCTATAACTGAGCAGAAGCTGCTAGATACTAGAATGAAATGTTACTACAGTTGGCCAACTAAAAAGTGGGTGTCTGCACGGCATATTTGCAGATGACATTAATAAACATGTTACACTGAATCAGCTTTCATTAATACTTAAAAATACATTTAACATTTTGTTTTTTTAAAAAATAGAGACAACTCCTTTTCCATCTGTTTGCTGTTTCAAGAACTAATAGGAATATAAAATGAAATCTGATCGATTTCACAATGGTTTGCTTAAAATATGAATATATTCTCTAGTTGTTACTGATATTTTAGAGCAAAATTGAGAGGATTCAACATCTGATTTACTTTCAAGAAAGAACAATTGCATAATAGGCATAAACAGGTGGCTGATTTTGGCATTACATGACACTTTCAGTCTATTACAGTGGTTTCCAGCCTGTGGTCCATAGACCACCAGAGGTCTGCAAGAACTAAAATATGATCTGCAGCTTCACCATTACTACACCATTCCAATGAGAGTGACTGATCTCGAAAACTCTCTTATAGTGTTGCAGCTTATTAAATATGGTTTTCTGTGGGTGAGCAGACAGCAACTACTGGATGGCATATGTTCTGTATCAGAAACTAGAGTTGATGTGGTCTATCCAATGCTATTTTTGAATCAGCACCCCAAATAACCAAACCAAATCTAAAGTTGACCAAAACCTGATTCATAACCCTTTTGATATTAATGTTGGAGAGTGGTCCTTGGTCAAAGTGGTCCCTGGTCAAAAAAAAGGTTGGCATCCATTGATCTAATAGCATCAATAATTGTAACCAGATTTTGAACAAAGAAAGAAAATGCCTTATTGGCATCTTAGGGGCTATCACCCTTCACAATGGAAAATTAATTAAAATAAACCATAAGGTAAAAAAAACAAACCCATAAAATTGGTGAATTTAGTTTAACAGTATATCAGTGTATCAGTTAACTAAAGTCTATTAAATGTTTTATAGCTTTAAACTATAGCTCCCAGCATTCCATTGTATTTAGCCATGGCAATTAAAGTGGTTTCAAACTATTAATACTACACGGTAGATGTTCCCTACAAGCCATTTTTATTGACGTATGGTGTTGCAATGGTATATCTCCGAACAACACCAGAGTTAAAATGTTAAGGAACATATTCAGTCAATAAAATAGGGTTCTTCTCAAAAGAGTGCACTTGTGAGAATGTACATCCAAATATGTACATCAAGGAAATCAAAAAAGGTCCCTTCCCTGCAGGGTTGATAGAATTTCCTACTTTTGTTTTATTACATTTTAATCCAATCTTCCCTTGAAGAGGAAGGCAAAAGAATGTACAGGGAGTTGTCCAATCATCTATAGGGTGCCTACTTACATGCCACCAAAAAAGGCAAAAGGTATCTCCCTAAATTATAGTAAAAGAGACCTCAGATTTACATAACACATATGAATTGTCAATTATATATCAGGTGCACATTTATAGATGCACAGTCCTGTGGTCAAGTGTCAGAGATATCTGCTCAGCTTGTAATCCAGCTGCCAACTGTAGATGGGTAACTTGCTTTCCCTTCCAGTGGATCTTTGAAACAGATTCAGGCAACCCTTGAAATAGAGGATGTCTGCCAATAAAGAACTGTCCCTTTAAAAAAGGTCCATTTTCTGTAATGCAGGACTCATGTCCATTGTGTCATCCAAATACCTAATCCGAGGCCTGGATTTGGGGGAGTGTATTGTCTGTTTTAAAATGCATTTGAATTGCATTTATTATATTGTAATTGTATTTTAACCTAACCCACACAGTACTATTTAATTTTTTTTTTGTATTAAATGGGCACCAAAGTGTGTGGATGTTAGCAACCTTGAATACCCATGGGGAGAAAGGAGAGGTATAAATAAAGTAAATAAATGGATAAATAGATCAAGCTTCTGAATAATTATCCCCAGATGGAAGAATAAAGTTTGGAATGATCAGTTAACAGGACTCAGCCATTCAGGAATCCTCCCCTGTACCTCCCCCACGTAGTCCTAAATTGCTTCCCTGTTCATTTAATTTGCTACATAATAAGTACACCTCTATGCAAATTCATTTTTACACATGGATGTCCCCCTTCATCTGCCATCAATCAGGCAACTCCCAGTTATAAGAAATCTGTCTGCACATGCACCTGTGTAAAGGTAAATATCAATGGTAAGGTGATTGCTTAGTTCATTAGTTTGGAAAATACAGAAACAGTAATGATCCCACAGCACTGAGCTGTAGTGCAAAGAACTACCCTAAGTAGTATAACACAAACTGTTATTAAGGTGATATGTAATTAATGCCAAACTTTAAAAGTCAAAGTTACACCTGGGGTTTGAAGGCAAATCTGCCCTAATTGCTTTGAAAATGCCTGTTCAAGGAAGTGACGAATTGTTCTAAATCCCTTAATGTTTCTACCAATTTTACAAACAATGAGTGATATTATTAGCATTTCCATTATTAGCACTTCAAATCAAAAGGGGTCTGTTTTTGTTTCAAAGAGGAGAAATTATGCCGAAGTCACCTCATTTTCATTATCTTATATACAACCTTCATTGCAGATTTCCTGACTATAGCAGGATTAGTAAATCAAAGTGAAGTATGAAGAGCAGAAATAAACACAGGAGTGCCTTATTTATAATTCCTTCTTTAGTGTGATTACATTCCAGATTGGTTTTGTTATTTCCTTGTTCCTGGCAATGCCTTTTCTTTTACTTTATTCCTTAGACTGAGGCCAGTGGTCCAAGAGACCCCTTCCTTGCATCCAAAAGAAAAACTTTATCAACTACTGGAGACGGTCCCTTAGCCCAGCACATTGGATGGAGAATCGCCACTTCCATGTGCCATCACTTCTTGCCACCAATTGGTCCAGATGTTCCCTTGCCAAAGGTGCCTGTCCAGAAGCAACAGTTGATGCCATACCGAGAATCAGTGTTTAAGGAGAAAAAAGCCAAACGTCTCTCTTTAAGGTAGCAATTTCCTCTGCTTGCACATTGCTTATCTAGTCTCATGCAATTTGGCTGAATATTCTTTTAATCCTTCTTGATTCCATCCTTCCTATGTCAGATAAAGCTTGGTAAAAAGTCTTTGGAAAGAAATTAATCTATCTGGATCAGATCTTTGGGACGAAGCAGTCACCTGTCTGATTTGCATCAAAGCAGCCTTCTCTGTCATTTCATTTGGCTGCATCATTACTGAGTTTAAAAATAAGCCTTATGACAAGGGAAAATCTATAATGACAGTGCCATGAACTTCCAGAAAAGGCAACTGGCAATCAAAGAGAAATTAACTGCCCTGAGAGCCCTGGGGAGAGAGGGCAGTCTATAAATAAGTATTTATTGATTTATTGATTGATTGATTTATTTATTTATTGATCACTCAAAGCATATGATTATTCAGTTTATGGCAACCTTAAGGTATACGTGTCATGTGATTTTCTTGGCAAGATTTGCTCAGAGGGAGCTTACCTTTGCTTCCTCTGAAGCTCAAAGAATGTGACTTGCCCAGGATCACTCTGTCAGTTTCCATGGCTGACCTTGAATCCCACCCCATCCCGCTCTGTCTTTTATTGAGATCCAGCACAGAATTAGCACATAACCTCTAATCCAAACCTTGTAATGTTATATAAGCATTGTGAGACTTCATCATTTGTTGGCTTGGTGCAATGTGTCTCCCTCTGTGAATGCATCAGAGATAAGCCTTCCAGCAGCATATAGCAGCTAATAGTCTGACTAAATGAGCCACTTTGACTATATGACTATCTCACCACTAGGAACATACAAGAGAGAACTGAGAAATCTTTCCATATATCTGTAACAAAGTATATTTTCAAGAATGGATAGTCATGTGCACAGTACTCGTTTCATATTTTCATTCCATTTGTTTCATTTGAGGGGCATGAAACGGTACCCCCCTCCCCGGTACAAAATAAACCTGAAAACTAAAATAAGTGGGAATGGTTATTGTTTATTCCCCTGATTTTCACGCCACGTGGCACTCCTCATGCAGCCCACAGAGAATTGCTGCATGTTGTATTTACCTCTGAGCCCTGCCTGTTGGGTCAGTTGGAGGATAAGAACATCATTATATGGGCATGCATTGGTCATTGTATTTATTGGAGCGACCACCCCCAAAGCCCTCACTCCAAGGTGTGTGTCTGCTGCTACTGCTGGAAAGGGTAGGGGGCAGGGCCGGCGGGGGAAATGATGGAATGTTTCTAAGGAGATTTAATTTCTAAAAAGAAAAAAAATCCCTAAAAATCAGGGAATGACCCAAATGTGATAAAACTTGGTGTGCTAAAAGTGGTAAATGTGCCCTCCAAGTGTGATGATTTTCACCCCTCTAGCCCTAAAAGTGAGGGAAGGGGAGCTGGGGAAAGCCTGCCCATGTTGACCAATGATGCGAAAATTTTTGGTTCTTTGGACATGGAACTAGAAAGGCACCTGTTTTCGGAAGGCGTGTGAAAATGAAAACAAAGGGAGGGGGGCTGACAAACGAAACAAACAAACGAATAGCAATTCTATACAAATGCACAAAATTAATGTTTAGCAAGTTTACCACTTTTGAGTGTTTGAAAACTCATGCATTACTTACAATAACTATAAAGTAGGTCAGCCTTTTTATTCCCATATTGCAGACAGAATGCTAAGGCAAAATGATAATGGTTAAGGCCACAGACTCAAAACACGACAGAGGAAAGATTTGAAACCACAACTTCCTAGTTCAGTCACATTTTATCTCAGAAATATAAACCCTGTGTGTTCCATTGCATTATAGTTTTCGGCTTATGAAAGAATTGAATGAAAAATAGATACAGAATTTCGCATCAGACAAAACAGGATGATATAACCTGGGGACTTTAAAGATTGCTCTTCCAGCTATAAATATTGACAACACATGCTTTTTTTTGATAGACAAACAGTGAAAAATAGGAGAGGGAGAGAAGAAGGGAGAAGGAGATGAGATTGTTAAATATATAATAATTCCTACCTCCTAGAGTCAGCCAGATAAATAATATTAAATCATATTATCATGGTGAACTTATGCGCATGCACATGCATTTTTGTGCTTGGTCTCTGGCTCTCCAATATCAATGCCTATCTTCTAAAGACTTGTTTTGGGCTCCATCTACACTGCCATATAACGTCCAGATTATCTGCTTTAAACTGGATTATATTATTCTACACTTCTATATAATCCAGTTCAAAGCAGATAACCTGGATTTCATATGGCAATGTAGATGGAGTCTTGGTCTCTCTTTAAACCAGGAATAGTGAAACACCACCAGCCCAAGGAGTTTTCCTGCACAGAGTTTTATTGAAACTCATGTTTTACTTCTGCCCCTCTTACCCCCTTTTAAACACTAAAGTGACTTTTATATTCTTCCAGCTGTGTCAATAAATTGTGTAGAACCCCCGAGAAGCCAATAGTATTACTGTTATTTTCAGTAAATTAGGATCTGGCCCAGTGGTCTAGCTGTCATAAGAACTCCAACAATGAGTTAATGAAGAAGTAACATATATTTTGAAATTTCCAGGTCTTATGTCTGGAAATACCGAAGAGAATGGAAATTACCTTTTTAAAATAGGAGATGAGATTACTGCATTTCATGGTCCTTGACTGGCTTCTCTGTAAAATCAAAGACTTATTAACTTCCTAGGGTTTTCTGCCCTCCCTGATGAATTACATTCTAGTCTAGAAAAAATAGTAGATCTTTGCCAGAAATGGAGGTAAAATGATATATCCATGAGACATTCCTAAACCAGAAATGGGCCTTTATACTTGAATCTGCTATTTTGATTTTGTTTTAAAGGGGGTTTGTTAATCATTTAATTTTGACCATAATTTGGCCTGCACTCACCATTATATCATGTGTCTGGAAATCCCCCTTGTTACTGTCATGGCCCAATACTATGCAGACATATTCAGTGCCAGCGATACTACCACAGGTTCATGTTTCTTTGTCATTCTCAGGATTGCTGAAGGAGCAATCCACAGCCTGTGCATCATTTCCTCACACTAGTTGATACCACATTTTCTCACCACTCTAACAGCAATGGCTTAGATCCTGAAAACTCTGTGCAGAAGGATCTTCACACTTGCCAAGGGGAGGTTTCTCTTCTTTTTTTTCTACATTCCCCTGTATCACCTGAAAAACCCTTCCGGGGGGGGGGGGKAAAAATCAGGTAGCGGAGGTACCTTGAGTGAGTTGCTTTCATCCAGTTTTGCCTGTTTGTCCCTGAATCCAATAACCTCCTATGTACTCAAGTAATGGAGACATCAGATGGTTTCTTCAGTCTGATTTTCTGGAAAGGCTTTCCAAGACAGCAGAGACTGAAGAACAGTGGAAAGAAGGAAGGGATTTGAGCTTTCGTCTAGTTATAGGTAAATTACAGTATCATTCTAGTCTGTGCTCTCCACAAAATTGTCTTCATAGCATTATCTATTATACACACTCTATCATCCAAACATTTGACATATACTGTTCATAGCTTGGTTTTAATCTTTTGGGTTGCTGACTTTATTTTGTTTCTGAATTTATTGAATCCTATTGTATTGTGTCATATTGCCAAACCTTATTTTCCAGTATCTTAGTGGTACTGTTAATTTCAACCCACATTCAGGTCTTTCAGATAGGTCACTGGAGATATATCTGTGTTGTTGTTAATCACTAGCAAGTTAATTTTGCGTTGTGCAACCCTATGAATTAGAGACTTCCAAGTCACCTTGTCTTCAACAGCCCTGCTCAGATATTGCAGTTCATGGGTTCCTTGATTGACTCTTTTCCACTGTAATGTCGTCTTCCTCTTTTCCAATTGCCTTCTACCTTATGAAGCATTATTGCCTTTTCTAATGATTCATGTGTCTTCATATTACATCAGAGTATAACAGTCTTCCTTGAAGCCAAATTCTTGAGAGCTGAGACCTGCTTTGTTCTAGTACCTATCTGTCTTTATCATTCCACAATGTCTGTAGAACTCTTTTCCAGCACCATATTGCAAATGAGTTGTTTTTCTTCCTGCCAGAAATTTGCCAGTTGATTCAGTAAGAGATGATTCAATTCAGAGGGAGTAGGAGTGGGTTGCAGTGTGGCTCCTGATATGCCACTCGTGGTAGGGAAAACATGTCTAGTCTGAGAGGTGGACAAAGTAATAATTGGCTTCTGCACTTTTCACCCATGGCAGATGGTTACCGAAGCCTTGCCCAGTATAGGCAGCATGAGTGACACGAACTGAGTATTATTCTCAAGCAAAGTAAACACATTGAGCCCTCAGTGATGTTCATTTTGACAGAATGCCTTAGAGTCCTGGCATCTAAATATAGTAAGGAATGGAAAGAAAATGAGAGCTGTAGCTAGCTTTTCGAAACCAAACCGAGGAACTGAAAAGTTTATTTGTTCTAAAAAGTTATTTAATTTTTTTAAGTTGTGAGGAAGATTGGTACTTCAACTCACTTGGCCTATGAGAGACTGAAGAACCTGCATTCTTAGTGTGGGGGAGAACTGAAGAATCTTTACCAAACTCTTCAATAATTATGGTTGTACAATTGATCTAAATAATATTTAGACCAATTGTACAGTGCCATGTCACATGGAAGGTTTTAAAAGGAATCTGCATGGTGACACATGTTTCAAAGAAAACAGGTCATGGTCAGATCCATTGACATATCTAAGGCAACCCTATAGATCCAAGCCTATGTGTTCTGTCCATTTGAGTGAAGATTATTGGAAATAAGCAGAGGTGCCTGTATGACCTTATGTTCACACAGCACTGAAGCAACAGGGTTGCTTTGGAGTGTTAGGCATAGATAATGGACTTATCTACATGGACCTAATAACTTGACTTTGTGCACTGGGTCCTGGCTATCCACTTTGAAGGGGTTAAGTAGATTAAGGTCAGAGGATTCTCTGTAGTTTGCCTGAAACATTAGAACATCCCTGTGACTTTGGTGCAGTATGGACAGCAGGTTG